CCCGCCACAGTGTCTGGCTTTTTTTTATTTTTTGCAGTTGTCATTGTTGTTTAGCAGGCCCAGGCTGGGTTCCAACCCTTCTGTCTCAGTGTATGTGGCATCCTCACCACTGAGCTATGGGCGCTAAGCCTGACTTATTTCTTTAGACCAAGTGGTCTCACTCTGTCGCCCAAGCTGCACTGCAGTGGTGCCATCATAGTTCACTGTAGACTTGAACTCCTAGGCTGAAGTGATCCTTCTGCCTCAGGCTCCCAAGTACTTGAGTCTACAGGCATGCTCCACCACACTCAGCCAATCTTTTAAATTTTTTTAACAATAAAAGTCTCACTCTGTTGTCCAGGTTGGCCTCAAACTCTTGGCTTCAAGCTATCCTCCCACCTCAGCCTCTTAAAGTGCTAGGATCACAAGCGTGAACCACTCTGCCCCCAGTCATCTTTGGTTTTATGTGAGAGGGAAGCAAACATCTGCTTTGTTGGAGCCTATTGTCATTGCTCTAATTTGGTCTTAAAGTCTTTCTCTGGATGGAGAGTGGCTATCAATCCCAGCCCTGCCTTGATGGGGACCTAAGGGAGTTGATTATGAATGGGGACAGCTCATCTTTCACAGGAAACTTCCATCTTCTGGCCTAATACCTGCGTGTCTAACCTATGACCAGTCCCCCTCTCACAGAGCATTGGTTCATCCTGGCACACACCCTCGCAGCTCTTGTCTCACCTGTGTCCAGTTTATTTCTGCCAAGAGAGTCACTCCTCTCAACCTGTTAAATCTTAATCTATAGTTAAACTTCTGTGGCACACTTAAGTTATGTTGATCCAAAAAAGGAAAAAAGTATATTTACTGTGCTTTGAACTTCTCCCCAAAATAATTTAATCAATAATCTTTCAAAATTTTCTTAGCACACCTAAGATCCTCTCAAGGCACACCAGTTGAAGACCACTGGTCTAGGAGAACCCTGCTGGGCTGAGAGTCAGGCTTGGGTGTGTCACTCAGGTAAGACCCAGAGGAGGCAGAGGGACGAAACACATGAAAGAACACAGGCATCTTTCACTCACTGATCCGTGAGAGAAGAGGGGCCCGTGGGAAATCTGGAGAGTAAGGTGCTCACTCCACTCACTTCCAGCAAGTGGGAAGCAAGAGAGAAAAAGAAGAACTCATGGGCGCAAGTGCTTCCTGGGGTCCGGGGCATCACCCAAGCAAGATCCAGGGAGTTCGAGTTGGTAGGTCTAGAGCAGACAGGCCGACCACCAGGCAGCCACACTGTGACTAAGGTGGTGGGGTCACTGCAGCATGCCTGCACTGTCCATGGGGGATATAGGAACTGCCAGGATAAATCAAGAAGGTTGTATCTAGCTGCCCCCAGGAGAGGTAGTCACCAGGAGGAGGTTGTATAAGGGAGATATCTTGATCAACCACATGGAGGAACTGGGAGGAGAACTGGAAACTATATCTAGCACGACTGAGCCCTGCCCTTTTGTTTTTAAGACAGAGTCTCACTACGTTGCTCTCTGTAGAGAGCTGTGATGTCACAGCTCACAGCAACCTCAAACTCTTGGGCTTAAGCGATTTTCTTGCCTCAGCCTCCCAAGTAGCTGGGACTATAGCCATCCATCACAACATCTGGCTAATTTTGTTGCAGTTGGCATTTAGTTGGCCCAGACTGCGTTCGAACCTGCCACCCTCAGTGTATGTGGCTGGTCCTGTGGCGAGCCCTGCTTTTGACATGAGATATTCAAGATGGAAGCTAAGGCAACAGGAAATTATAGGAATTCACTACAGAGCCATTATTATTTGGGAACTCTGTCACGTGCAGATAAATCTCTAACCGGAATAATAAATACCCATATTTGTTGGCCCTACTTCTGGAAATTATAACATAGTAGAACTATAATAAAGCCCAAGCAAGTATCAGTATTTCTGTGTGTTTCCCAGGTAACTGATGTTCAGATGGTTTGGGGAACTGTTGAGTTGCAGATGGATCAACCAAGCTCTGCCAGAATAGCTTTACTTGAATAATACAGAGGAACTAACCAGGCAAAGCTTGGGGTGAAAGACAGTCGAAGCAAAGAGAAAAGCCAGATTCAGTGAGAAACAACGTAGTGTAATGAAGAACGCTTAGCGTTTCTAGAACATGAAACAACACACATGGGCTGATCAAAGATACAGCTGGAAAGACGGCAGGTGATCTATACTACAGAGAGGCCTGGGGGTGGGTATGAAAACACTCAGACTTTATAACTGTGCAAAAACTATTTTAGAAGTTTAAAAGAGAGGAGCGACCCAATTAGACTTTTTGTTTGTTTGTTTAAAAATGTAGCATCTTAGAACATAACTTCCCAAAACACTTTTCTTTATATACATTTTCCAGATGGGATCATGTCGTACGTACTATTTTTTGCGTGTCATCCTTGTGCAGGGGCCAGGCTAATCTTCTCTGTGTTGTTCCGATTTTTGTGTAGGTGCTGCTGAAGTGAGCGAACACCATACATACTGTTTTTAATGACAATGAATATTCACCTACAACACTGTAAATGGCTAAATACCATCTCATTACGAATATATCATTTTGTTTTGAGTTGATGCCGTTGTGGCAGCTTCATTTCGTTTCAACATAAGTCAGCTGGAACTATCTGGACCCCCTTCCTTGGGGTTCAGGTTATGGTTGGACACAAGAAAACAGTATGCAAAATTTGGCAGACAGAGGCAAAGAAGCAGCCTTTTTTTTTTTTAACTTCAATGTATTACAGGGATGTAAATATTTTTGGTTACATGGATCACTCTTACAATCCTTGAGCCATGGTTTAAGTGTGCCCTTCTGTGCTCTGAAGGTATTCTTACCACTCGTACGATTTGAGGTTCATTCGCTGACTCACCTTGTGGGTGTGGGCATCGGCCAGGCCTGTGATACCTCCAGCTCCTCGGGGTCACCTTCAGCTTCTACAAATCCACGCATGTCTTCATGGTTGCAGATGGTAACAGATGCAGGCTCCAGTTTGCCCTTACAGGCCATCTCCCGCTGTCCTCACAGCTTCTTGTCGATCTCGGCATCCCCCACTTCAGATACATTTTCCCTGCCCCTCATCTGGCCCTGCTGACTTCAGGTCCAACATCAGACTCAGAAAAGCCACCACCTCACATAGACTGAGTTACCTGCTCCCACAGGTGCATTAGGACTAATCCCGAATAATGAGTCCCTTACTGGGTGTTGGTCATAGTACTGTCGCTTCTCTGATCAAACTGCTTGAATTCTAACACTGAGGGTTAGTTGGGTTCTCTGAGAAGCAGACACTGAGATACCGTGTTTCCCCCAAAATAAGACACTGTCTTATATTTATTTTTTCTCAAGAAGACACACTAGGGCTTATTTTCAGGGGATGTCTTCCTCTCCGCGCTGCAATGCATGGCGTGGCTATGCAGTGTACGCCCATCATTAGGTCTTGTTATCGGGGTAGGGCTTATATTTAACAAATACATAGAAATCCTGCTAGGGCTTATTTTGGGGGAAACACAGTAGTATCAGGAGCAAAAAGGGTTTATTGGGAGTAACATCCATGAAAGATAACATGGCCAAAGGCAGGATTGGCCAGAGAGAATCTCAGGTCTCTGTTTTTATTTATTTGTTTATTTATTTGTTTGTTTATCTCCTGAAATTCCTTTTTACCAACAGAACCTCAGATCTTGAAGCAGGCCTAACAAAGTATCAGCCAACCCAGTGGCAAGTTCTGGAGCAAGATTCCTCCCAAAGGAATCCCACAATGAACAAAAATCACCAGGCCCCTACCTTGCTCAGTCCTTGACTAAGGAGGGCTCCCTGAGAAGAGTTAATAGATGAGACGGATTGTGCCCACAGCCATACCACTGCAAAAGTGCCCAGTGTCATATGATCTCGGAAGCTAAGCCTATTCCGGCCTGACTAGTACCTGGCTAGGAGATGAGGCAGATCTTGAAGTCATAACAGATGGAAACTGCCAGCTACCATCACTCTTCATAGCCAAAGGGCAAGTTCCTTCTTTTTCCAAAATTTATTTTTATGGTTTTTTAAATTTATTTTTGAGATAGGGTCTTGCTCTGTTGCCTGGGCTAGAGTACAGTGGTATCATCATCTCTCACTGCAACCTCAAACCCCTGGGCTCAAGCAATCCTCCTGCCTTAGCCTCCTGCATAGCTGGGAGTACAAGTGTATGTGACCACCCCGCTAATTTTTCTATTTTTTGTCACACTATATTGTCCAGGCTGGAATGTAGTAGTACATTCATAGCTGGCTGCACTCTTAAACTCCTGAGCTCAAGAGATCTTCCTGCCTCCGGCTCCTGAATAGCTGAAACTACAGGTGCCCACCACACTCTTGACACTCTGTCAAGCTTTTTTTTTTCTGGAGATAGAATCTCGTTATGTTGCCCAGGCTAGTCTTGAACTCCTGACCTCAAGTGACCCTCCCATCTGGGCCTCCCAGAGTGCTAGGATAACAGGTATGAGCCACCATGCCCAAACTCATTTTTAGGGATTTCTCTTCATTTCTCTTTCTTTTCTTTTCTTTCTTCTTTCTTTCCTTCCTTCCTTCCTTCTTTCCTTCCTTCCTTCCTTCCTTCCATCTTTCCTTCTTTCTTCCTTCTTCCTTTCTTTTCTTTCGACAGAGTCTCACTCTGTCACTCGGGGTAGAGTGCTATGGCATCACAGCAACCTCAAACTCTTGAGCTCAGAGATGGGCTGACTACAGGTGCCCATCACAGTGCCCAGCTAATTTTTCCATTTTTAGTGGAGACAAGTTCTCACTTTTACCCAGGCCAGTTGGGAACTCCTGAGCTCAGGAAATCCACTCGCCATGGCCTCCAGAGTGCTAGGATTACAGGAATGAGCCACCACACCCTGCCAAGGACTTTTGATACATAAAATCAGACTGATCCTCAAGAGAGTCATGGTTTTAATTAGAATTTAATCAACGTTAAGGTTGAACGTTTTTATATGCTTTGGGACATTTATATTTCTTTTTAAGAATGTCTTATTCATATTGTTACCTATACAATGTTCATCCCTTTCTAATTGACAGAGCTATTTGTATGTAAAAATTGTAATCCCTTGTCTGATATGCAGAATGCAAATAATTCTTCAGTTTGTCCTTTGCCTTTAAAAGTTTTTTTGGGGGAGGGGGACAGAGTCTCACTATGTTGCCCTCAGTAGAGTGCTATGGCATCACAGCTCACAGCAACCTCCAACTCTTGGGCTTAAGTGATTCTCTTGCTTCTCTCCCAAGTAGCTGAGACTATAGATGCCTGCCACGACACCCTGCTACTTTTTTTGGTTGCAGTTGTCATTGTTGTTTAACCGGCCCGGGGCCAGGCTTGAACTCACCAGCTTCGGTGTATATGTCTGACACCATACTCACTGAGCTATGGACACCAAGCTTGCCTTTAAATTTTTATAAAGTTAACACTATTAATATTTTCCTTCATGATTCCTCTTAGGAAAACCTCTGCATGTCAAGATTACACTAATAATCACTTATACCCTTTTTATAAACCATTTGCTATTTATTTTATGAAGTAATTTGGAAAACTAATATTTAAATATATGGGGCCAGGCGTGGTGGCTCACACCTGGCATTCTAGCACTTTGGGAGGCCAAGGCAGGTGGATCACCTGAGCTCACAAATTGGAGACTAGCCTGAGCCAGAGTGAGAGCCTGTCTCTAAAAAAAATAGCTGGGCATTGTGGCAGGTGTCTGTAATCCCAGCTGCCGGGAAGGTTGAGGCAATGGGACCACTTGAGCCCAAGAGTTGAGGTTTCCGTGAGCTACAATGCCATGGCAACAAAGTGAGACTCTGTCTCAAAAAAAAAATATTCTTTATTTTATATAATTATACTATTAGACATATATGTACATATATGTTTTTGTACTTTCTTTTTTTTTCCCTTAAGCCATTTGTAGCAATATTCCAACAATTTATTTTATTTTTTGAACAATGTAATGGTTTATTAGGGACCTATTTACCCACATAAAACATTTTTACATCTATCTTTTCAGTGCTTTATGTACAAGGAAAATCAATTCAATTTATAGACATACCAAATCACCATTTTATTTTGGTTTCATGATAAATGTTAACTGGTAAGCTAAGGCCCATCTTACTCATTTCTTAAAATATCCACTTTCCTTTCCTGCATCTCCACCTATATCCACATGTGGAAGATTAAAGATGACCATAAATTCCCCAATACTTCTCCCATTCAGAGATGCGGTCTATATCTTCTCCTGTGGGGGCTCTGGATTATTTTTGTGAAAGTGATGTCATACCAGTTTCCCAGGCTTTAACTGACTGGCCCCCCTGCCCTTCCTGTCTCTTGGGACACTGTTCCTGTGGAGATGTGATGGCTAGAGCTACTGCAGCCATCTTGTAACCACGAGTCAATAAGCCAGAGCATTAAAAGGCAACATACTAAAGAATAGAAGGATAAAAGATCTTGAATTTTCAATAAATACTGCTGAGCTACTCAATAACTCTAGGACTGCCTACCACCAGACACATAGTGTGAAACAATTGTCTTCATTGTTTAAGCCATTGTCAGTAATTCTGTAATTTGTAGCCAAAACCAAAGTAACTTGTATATACTTATCTGTTGATTTCTCCTGTCTAGCTTGCAGCGTCCTTCTTTTGGTAACAGCACTCTGATATTCCTTTAGGGAATCAAGACACACATACCCACACTGACTTTGTTTCAAGTGGGATTGACTGTAATCTCTAGCTCTGGGGTATGACCAGATATGGCTAATTAGAGTGTTGCATTTACCTGACCACAGTGGACAGACCAATGAGATTGATTTCTGAGACTCCTGACAGCACAGTTGGGAAAGAGAGGCTCTGTTTTCATTGGGGTTACTGTTTAAAAGTGAAACCAACACAGATGACAGCAGAGTTGAGAAATGAAAAGGCTAATTTCTGATAATATCATACAGCCTTTGGGACTCAACCTTTGGACTCTCCTTTTTGTGATATGAACCAATAAATTCCTATTATTTCATAAGCCAGTTGATAACTAAAAGAATACAGAGCAATACAGGCCAGAGTCCAGGCTCACAGATGAGGGGGGCCTAAGGCCTGAGCTGAAATAAAGCAGTTTGAGGAAGGAGATAGAGAAAGGATAAGAAGCAATAACTCTGCAGGGCACCTGCTATTATGTCTCTTTCACAGACAATAGGAGCAAAGGCATCCCAGGGTAAACTTATCTCCCAAGATTGTACAGTAGGAGATAATAAGGGCCCAGGTTCAAATTGAGGCCTAACAGGAGGCCAAAACTCAAGGAGTTTTATTAAACTGCGCTGACTCTCAGGGGAGGCCTCTCTGAGAATCAAGTCTGTAGGTTGTCTCTTTAACATTAAGAGAGTTTTGCTGATGTTGGGTGGGTGTGGCTAAAGGCAACCCAGAGCTTCCTTCTATTTGAGAGTCAAGGTCAGAATTTTTAACTATTTTCCTGATCAGTGAGAAAG